CGGTCAAAAAAATCAAGAGTCTGCTCATGTAGTCCGCTGCTTGAGATGCCAACTGTGAACACAATCTTATTTACATTGCAGAAGTCAGTAATTTGTGGACTTGATGATATTGCCACAAAATGAATCAATATGACACAATTTATCAGTAAACTAAAAGAATATATAATAAAGCAATTAACCACCAGAATTTTAGATTAGCCACTTCAACAAGCATCTTATCGGCTGAAATGTCTGTTCATAGTATTGAAATGGATGATACTAAGAGAAAACTACTTTATAAGAAAAAGATTAAATTAAAAACTCGATTACCGCGGGCACCTTTTAAGAATTTTGTGAAATTTGATGAATTCTGGCTCGGGGATATCAACAAAAAATCTCGAATTGACAAATTATATTTAGCAAATTAGATATCAAATATTCTCAGATTTCACCCCAAACATACCTATCATCCCAGAGCACTAGTGTACCAAATTCTATTAAAATCTGTTGATTGGTTCTCAAATATCAGAGCAACTGCTGACAGGCGTGTGTGTGCGTGTACCTACGTACTAAGTTTCATTAAAAGTCGACGATTGGTTCTTGACAGGCACACATTTCCATCTTTACATTGGTACATCATGTTACCAGTACTTCTCAATCGTGCTTTGCACACATAGAAACCATAAATACAGAAAGTATGCAAAACAATCTATGTACAATCAATTTCAAAGAAGTCGCTGTCACCAAAGATTCATTGAAACCAGTCAGTTTTGAATCATAACATGACATGATTTTTTCAGATTTGGTATAACAGAAATATTTATCACATTCGCATTCATAAATCTAGTTTTGATTAATGAAAAAAGTTTTAGATTTCTGCATTTTGAAAAAGTATGCCCAATAATGGATTCCGATAAACTACGGGTTGATCATGAACAATCATAACGATACGACACGCAAAGGGGTAAACCGGGAAGTGGAGGTAAGAACTAGAGACATGATGAAAAGTATAAAATGTTTATTAATAAAGTCAGAATCAACAGCTTGTGATACCAGGGCCAAACAAAAAATATGATATGGGGAGAATGCATACCAATAAATACCATTTTTTTTCGACTGTGTTAACAATATTTATACCAGGAGGTTATTCTCATGTTGTCAGTTGTCCTGTAATATATTGGTGAAACTGGAAGTAGAGTGATTATTTATATACACACAGAATTTCACAGAACCGATCAGTAAAAGAATACATCACCAAACTGTGCAACAGCTGGGTACAACCTCCTTCACCAGCATAATGTAAATCATTATTTATCAGCTAAAATGTCACATATAGCTCATTGGAACGTCTTTGCCGAAACAATACATTATTTTACAAGTAATTTTATCTTTGTGTCAGTGTACGCTAGATTTCAATTAAAATCGAACGGCTCAATTTATTCCGCGGCCAGGTAACCATTGTAAGATGTCTGAGCCTTCAACCAGAAACTGCATTCTAAAAATACAAAAGGTTTGTGAAAACAAGACGAGTTTTAATACATTTTCGTGTATTTCGTGTATCGACACTGTCATTCATATATTTCTGTCAAAATATATATCAAAGCTATAGAATTCGCGTAGTAATCAAAACAAGATTTAAATTACACATTTATAAAATATCACATTTTTATGGAGACAAATAATCTGATTTAAAAGAAAGTTATACATGATTGTGTCAATGCAGGATTCCATTCAGATATCAAAGATATTTGCATATCATAACACATTAACGACAATGTAAAACTGCGAGACGTGGGATTGTTACATCTTACGCAAACATTTCTCTTGTGTTCGTTTAATATATATCGCACTTCAAATAAGTCATCCGACTTCCATCACGGTACGAAAGACACCAGTGAATTACAGAGGCGGCGGAACGAAATTATACATATAAGGGGCGGGATCTGAAATCTAGACCCTCTGAAACGCATTTCCGGCATTTTGAGGGGAAAATATTGCTGACACAAAGGGTTTCAGCTTGATTCATGGGGGAACAACATTTTTTTTCGGATGGTCGACCGCCCCCTCTGCCCCCCCCCCCGGTGCCGCTGCCACTGAATTATATATTGTATAGTGTACTCATTCACAATGAATCGAGTAGTACATTCGATTATATGAAAACATTTCTATGGATAAGTAGAAACATTCCCAGTGGATTATCATTTCACACGACTTTACTGACCTAAACAAGACCAGTTCATGGAAATGCATCTCCATGATAACCATCATGGGGTTAGGTCAAGTAACTTATTATTATAAATATGACTATTAGTTTTTCAGTATCTGTAAATAAATCTTCAGACAAATTTATTTCGTGCAAGCAAATACACATGCTCAAAACATGATAATGACTTTGTCGCACAAAGAGGAAATACGGATGTGTACAGATAACAACACTGACTGTCATTCTGGAAAACAGCATGGTACAATGATTCCCTGTATCGTCAATACAATTTTCTGCAAACACGTTAACCAAGTTCGGAGGTAAATATATTTGTATAAACACATTCGAGAGACACGAAACAAAACGATGGCGTATGTTCAAGATTAGTTGATCTTTGTTCAATATAACCTTATTAAACTAAATAATAGATAGGCAGGATGTTTAATACATGCTCCTACTAAGCTGTGGAAATCGAAGAATCGATGGTTATAAAAAAGAAACGTTGAATCATCATCCGATTACCCACTGCTGTGTGGATGATAATATGCACTCACCGTAGGTTGGGAAAAATGTGATAAACAATTGCGACATGCCTGGCAGGAGATAGTTTTCATCACTCAGACTGGCGTTAGTCTGATTGTTAATAAGATCTGTATGTGGGTTTTTAATTATCATTATTATTATTATTGAGAATAATTAGAACATTGTGTTTCAAAATCAGAAAAAAATATCCCGGCAAATAAAATTTAACCAAATTAAACTAGAAACTTAGGCATGTGTGCAAATAACCTTCACTTCAGAATTTAGTTCAAAATATTTAATAGTAGATACAAATTTGTTTTTGATTGTGTGTATGTATATGGGGTGGGTATCAACAAATAATTTCACAACCAACCACGACCAACGTCATAACACGTGCGCTGTTTGAATATTTCTATATTTTCATTGCGAGATTTCTCTTTATTGAACGAGTTGACGTCCTCACAAATTGAGAAATTCGCGATGCGCACGTGATAAAACTGTTATATGCAACGTGGGATATCACATTTTATTAGCAATTGGATATTCGAAATATAACCCTTTAAAAACAAAATAAATTACATCTAATCGTAAACGCATGAATCAAGTTTGTCCATCACTGTAAGCTCCATGTGACTGCTGAGACTGCTCTACGCTAAACTATTAGATATCGCATAATGTGTTGAAAATTCTAAAGCTCCACGAATTAATAAATACTGAGTGTAGGTAGAAACAAACACGTTAAAATAAATTACATCTAATCGTCAACGATATGGTATGAATCAGCGTTTGTCCATCACTGTAAGCTTCATGTGACTGCTGAGACTGCTCTACGCTAAACTATTAGATATCGCATAATGTGTTGAAAATTCTAAAGCTCCACGAATTATTAAATATTGAGTTTAGGTAGAAACAAAAACGTTAAAATAAATTACATCTATTCGTAAACGCATGAATCAGCGTTTGGCCGACACTGTAAGCTTCATGTGACTAATAAGACCACTCTACGCTAAATTATTAGATATCGCATAATGTGTTGAAAATTCTAAAGCTCAACGAATTATTAAATACTGAGTATAGGTGGACACAAAAACGTTACATCATATTAACTACAAGCAACTAATGCACAAATTTCAAAATACGCTTGGGTTGGGTCGAAGTAGGAAAAATAAATACGACCAGCAATGGAAACAATGTATTCGCCATTAGATATTTGAAAAACAGTCCGATATATAATATTTACAATATACACGGTTTCTGAACTCTTTCTGAACGGTTTGGCAACATTCTCACGATAAAATCGTAATTAATATAAATATAAATTTTATTCAGTACAATGGCCTAAGAGAATCCTTTAAATAATTGTTGAATCTACTAGTTGCAACTGGTTAAGTAGATTTTATCTATGTTTAGAAACGTAGAATAATTTCGAAATTTGAAGTACAGATAAGTTGTCATTAAACGAAGAAAGTTTTCATAAGTCTGATTTGACTGATAACAAATAGATGTTTTTTCATAACGTGGACATACAAGACAAAACGGTATTCATTTTCAACCAACCCTAAATTACATAATTTACAGATTCTGTAAATAAAATCACAATAAAGCCGTTGATTATATCCGGAATACGACCTGAGTGTCCTGGCTGGTGGTGAAGTGCTAACAATAACATGTGTATTTTGATTCTGAAGCTCAGCTATTTACTTGAAATTGCACGTTGTGATAACATGTACATTCAAGAAATTGTATTTACGCAATCCGGTCATTTTTTTTGTTTTATTATAATATACATAATACGGCTTGTACACTCCAACAATTCGAATACAAAAAAAAAATGTTTATGAAGAAAATGCAACAACAAAATAAGCAAATCGTCATAGATATCATAGGAAATCTTTTGTGATGTGCATGCATTCATGGCATAACGGCTGGAATCCCATGAGGCATATCTATTCAAATCAAAAGATAACAGATACCAACAGACACCAACTGATACGACGTCACATTGCAGTTGGCCCCTATTATATGCTTTTCATTGTATGCCCGTCAATCCCCGGTTGTCTATTAACGCTCTATACTATATTCAAATCTGTATTTATATACTCAACGGCAAACATCCTTGAGTATGTAACATGAAAAGGAATTGACGGAGTTGAATGCGGGCAAACATACGTATTATTAGTATACATCTGTCACCGTAACGCCGTAAGTTACAGCGTGCCGTAATTTTACGGTATTGCAATGGGTATTTTCATCCTACCATATTAGGAAACGCGAATTTCAAATATGGAACGATTACTCGCGTATTCGTCTTCTAATAATAAAAAACAAACATTGCTGTCCCCAGCTGGGTTTGACCGTATCCCACACAAAAAAGTTCGCTATTTCTGCTTTAAACGTGTTGTGATTTCGGCATTCCCATGATGTATTCCCTGGAGGAAAAGTCGTATAATATTATACACACTTTCAATAAAACAGTATTACCCAGATAGTATTAAGTCGTTAGTTATTCGCTTTGGTGAATCATTGAATGAAACCTAAACCATTTGCAATTCAGTAAACGTATCAGAATGCATTTTACAGAATTATCTTATGAATTGTATATCAGCGTTGTAACGTGTATAAGCATTGGAGATTTGTATATATGGATAAAGTTAATATTGTAATAATCATACCCCGGTCGTTATTTGTTCAATGTCAAAGCTGACAAGTACGCGTCCTAATAATAGTAATTGCAAACTACCTCAATGAGAAAAATGTACCACTAATTATAACATGTGAACATGGCTTACTGTTAATACATTCAATGTTGGGCTGTTCGCATGATGCATGGATATTCCGTTTCCAATACAATAAATTAGACATGTGCATCTTTCACTTTAACAATTCAGAAGTCCTTTCCCAATTGAAACACGTTAAAACAAAAATCACTCATTTTTTATAGGACAGTAATTTTCTCCTTGTTGCAGCCTTTCATCGAAGTGTAAATTTTCTTTTTCTAAATTTTCTTTTTGCCACTGAAAAGCTCGACAAAGCACATTGTGAAAATAAGTACTCTATTAAAACACTTATTGACTTACTAATGTTTAAATGTTTTTAGAAATTAGTTTGTAATCCCCTACCCTATAACATTTATTAAACTGTTATAATTATATTTCTTTATTTTTTAAAGATTTTTTGTCAATATAGTTGGGAACGTGCTGTACTTGTAACGTCAATCGCGCTAGATGTGTGCGAGTATTCTGCAAATGCTTTGCAAAAAGCCTTTCAACAGAATAATATTACCGTTGGTGACCATATACAATTAGATGGGGACATATATCAATATGACAATGCAGCTCACAACATTCGGGAAAGAGGGAGAAGTAAGTTATTTTTAAATGATTGAATTGATATCGTTTTTTCTTTACTATCACTTTAAAATACTCATTTAACAATATTGCTTATAGTAATACAATAATTTCATTCTTCAAATGGCGGAGAATCTAATTATTAAAGTGACTAGACACACATTGTATAGATGTGCGATATCTTTTTGTTATTGTATGTTTTTTTTGTAGTTCATTACTTTCGTTTAATTTCATTTCAGTTGTAATCCTGTGCAATAAAGATCTGGAGGATGAACGCGAATTTATGTTATATGCATTCGATCACGGAATGACGGAAGGTGACTATGTGTTTATCAGTCTGAATCCTCTGTTCACATATGAAGAAATATCGAGCACACCATGGAAAGGCGACGGCGATAGAGATGATGACCTGCGTTCAGCATATGAAACAGTGTTATACGTAAGGCAATAGAATTATATAGTTTGAAAAATAAATATTGAAGGCAGATAATGATATGTTACGTATTTGCTGCAAACCCACCAATACAGGATTGTTTTACATTTTATTTCTTGACTTTTACTTAATTTACTTGTAGGTTAAATTGAAGACTGTCAGTAGTGATGAGATTGACGACTTTCTAAATATGATCCCAATTAAAATGGCACAACCACCATTTAACTATTCCACTCCAGTCGGCACAAAGGTAAGAATGTTTTCCGGTAATGTTGGACTAGATACCAGCCTAATCGTAACCGTTACCTAAGCGTTATTAAATATGCCATATTGCAACACGTGACAAGTGAAATCATACAATTATATTTTAGTATTAATTGATCGACACATCTATCACGGGGAATGCTTCACGGAAAGTACAGAATGCGGCTGGGATACGCGTAAAACTTTGAATCAAACCTCTTATGCATAACGCCGAGCTTTGTTTATGGGAAAAATAATACATATTGCTCAATGTATTTGTGGAAAGAACTATTGTGAGCCAAATCAGCATAAATATAAGTGTAAACTACGTGACCATGTAATCATTATATAAACAATATATTATTATGTAAACACTATGTAAATTACGGTTTTTTGCACAAATGTATATTCAACCTTGAGAAATGTTAATTCCGAAAATTACCAAGGGTGTCACTTAAGAGTTGTCCATTTTACGATAAAGCTTTGAATTTAAAGAAATGTAAAATCTCCCTTTTCGAAAATAGTGCGCTAAAGGAGTTTTATTTCTCATGTTTGTTGGTACAATTCGGAAAACGGCATGAATTACAAATTATGTACCACTATTAGCAAAAAAAAAAGTCCACAACCACTTTGGCGGAAAATAACATCTCACAGTAACCCACATCGTGAGGATAATAACTTTCGAATCGACTTTAACAATTACCAATCAACAATTACAAGTACCAACAAATACAATCTGAAACTAACAGTAAATACAAATTAAATTTTGGGGTTTTGGATTACAAAAGAAAACATTTTGACCAATATGGATGTTGGTTTTGCTCAAAAGCGAACGTTTCCGTGTCTTCAGGTTTTAATTAATGCATTCTGTTTCAGGGAAATCTTTTCTCACCTTATTTACACGATGCTACTTTACTGTATGCTATTGCTTTGAACAAGAGTTTAGAACAAGGAAATGATCCACGAGATGGCGAAGCATGGTTTGAAAATGTCAAAGGACTAAAATTCGAAGGTAAACCTGTTTACTACTTATGGGTTGTTCGAAAATAATAATGGCGTTCTCTTCATTATATCTTATAATACTATGCAAACAATTATGAATAAACATAGAGTATGCATACATTTCGGGAAAATAGACATATAACATTGAAAGACACATAATATGTATATTCTGTTTCAGGGAAATATGACAAAAGCTTTTTTCTATTTAAACATATATGTTTGGAATTTAGATGCCAAATTCCACATATTATTCGAACGATAACACAATATGCATGTCTGCATGCACACATGCCAAAACTGTATCATACGTCTAAATTGAGTGGTGATCGTTAATAGAAAATAAAATAAGATATATACCACTTTCTCCTGCATGGTTAATATTCCAAAAAACAATGTCTATCCATCGGTTCTTTATTTATTTTGGAACTTACTAGTAATCTAAACAATAAACTATTTGAATGTTTGCCTTGAATGAAACATGATTACAATAATAACATTTGTATATCAATTACCGGGATTGACGTCGTTATTATACAGGAATGTCTGGTACAGTAATAATGGATGAAAACGGAGACCGGGAGCCTGATTATTTGCTGTTGGACCTCAGACCATCTGGGCATTTAGCTGCCTTTGCTGAGGTTCGAGTTGATGAAAACGCCAAGGTGAGCAATGACCAAAGACATTTCCAAAAAAACGCGTTAACATGATATTCTGTTTACAGGGTTTGGTATCACAAACCATATATATATACACGAAGGAAATTCATAAACATCTTTTTGCTCCCCCTTGCATCTTAAATTGGAAAAGTAATATGTTACACATACTGCTTTACAGATATTTGATTCTTTTCTGCAACCAATCTGGTCAAAATATGGAACACTTGACCCTCCATCTGATAAACCATCATGTGGATTCCTAGATGAGCTGTGTGATACTACCAGTAGTGAGTATTGTCCAATATCATAATGATATTTATACTTTAATATGCGATTTTTGTGGCATGGAATGTGATGAATCTTCCGTGATGGGGAGACAAAGAACTATTTTATTGTGAGATTTATATTGATTTTTTTTTTGAATTCATGATGAAAAACAAACCACAGCTTTAACCGTATACCAGTAAGTACGCATATCTTTAAATAGAGAGCTTTAGACATCACAAATACGACTCATTACTTAAATACGACTCATTACATTGTCCACCAGTCACTAAAATACATATCGCCAATTTCGTTCTATATTGAAACATACAAATGTACACAATATCTGAGCTTTTGGTATATTTTTTGCAGACTATTCAGGACTGATTATTGGTGTTTGTGTGGCGATTGCTTTTTGTGTAATTATAATAGTTTGTGCTGTTTATATTTACAGGTGAGTTCACATGTGTACAATGCTATGTACGGTATCATACTTCCACCATATGATCAAATTCTGAATGTATTTTAATACAGATAACAATGTCGCCATTCATCGTTTTCTCAATGAAAACCCCGAACTGTTTGAAGTCATCATTTACATTTCATCTATTTCATAAGTAAGATTTACCTTAATTTAAAAAATGACGTCTTATATAATCCCGGAACACCATGTTATAATACAAAATAATAAACAAAGTAGCTATACACTTCTAATCCCTTATATTTAGCAGAACACTGCGACTATTATGATCCGTCAGCTGTACTTCACTTTTTTTTGTTCCACCGTTATCTCAAGAAACACTAATCAAATTTCAATGAAACTTGGTACATAGATGCTCTGAACAAATGCGCATATTTGATTAGGTTTTGGTACAAATTTATGCATATTAATTACCTAATTTGCATGATAATTAGCTATTTTTTAGCAGTTTCGTGATTGTTCCACTGATATCTAAAGAACCAATCATTTGGATTTTGATGAAACTTGGTACATAGATGCTCTGAACTAATGCGCAGATTTGATTAGTTTTAGGTAAAAATTTGTGCATAATAATTAGCTAATTTGCATAATGATAAGTCAATTTTCAGCTTTTCTACTGATATCTCAAGTACTAATCATCATATTTCAATGAAATTTGATACATAGATGTCATAGGACACTGCACAGACCTGATAGTTTTTAGGGTAATATAATTACCTAATTTGCATAATTAATTATTGTTCAGCTTCTCAAGTAGTAATCATCACATTCCAATGAAACTTTGAACATAGATACTCTAGGACTATGCAGAGATTCATTGTTTTGGAGTAAATATTTGTGCATATTAATCACCTAATTTGCATAATTAGTTAATTTTCAGCTTTTTCGCTGATATCTCAACTACTAATCATCACATTTCAATGAAACTGTACATAGATACTCTAGGACTAAGCAGAGATCGATTGTTTTGGATTACATATTTGTGCATATTAATCACCTAATTTGCATAATTAGTTGATTTTCAGTTCTTCCACTGATATATTAAGTAGGAATCATCACATGTCAATAAAACATGGGACATAGATCCTGTAGGACTATGCAGAGATCTGATTCAGTTTTGGGGTAAATAATTATCTAATTATCTAATAACTAACCAATTTTTCAACTTTACTGATATCTCAAATCACATCTCAATAACATTTGGTACATAAATGCTCAAAGACAATAGACAGACCTGATTAATTTGGGGTTAAAATCTGTACAAATTAATTACCTAAATTGCATAATTAAATCAATTTAAAGCTTTCACGCTGATATCTACAGTACTGATTATTCAATTTCAATGAAACATTGATGCTCTAGGTCAATGTGCAAACCTGATTAGTTTTGCGTTAAAATCTATTATTTCCATAATTAGCATAATAATTTATAATTTGTTGGTTCTAATCACATTTCAATGAAACTTGGTACATGGATGGTCTGTTACATTGTCTCTTGTCTCCAATACTCTCAGCACATTAGAGTGCATTCCAAGCTTTCTTTGATTTAGTAATATTATTTCACACTTGAATTCAGTCAGGCAGTGATGATAATTTCTATGTTGAGATAACAACCCAGAGAAACTGAAACTATGGTTTATTTTGAATCCCAGTAGGTATAAACGTTTTCCTCATTATTCCAATTGGACTATGACAGTAATAAATCCTTCCTCACTTTTACCACTTCATTTATCTCCACAGTCGCCATTCACGGGAAAAGATGGGGAATTCGCTATGGAAGATACAGTATTCAGACCTTAAGTTTGTGAAAACCGAGAAGGTGAGAGTCCGTAATATAAAATGATTTGATGAGACCTCCAATCTCAAGTCGCAACCTGTATTAAAATAATTCTTATAGTTACTGTAAATATAAGAAACAAACTCCATCAATAACACGCAAGTCGCGTAGCGATGTAATTGTACATGTAGCGATGTATGCGCGGCTTTGAATTTTCAAAGTGATTATGAAATAATCTCGCCAAGCGGGTACAAGTCGACCTCGTTTGGCGTGCAAGGTACAGATCGGGTACAACACTGTAAAGTTGTATGCTTGATAAATAATGCAATGAAAATATACATTTTCTTCCTGTTTACATGCAATTGCAGACGGCTTCATTTCACGAATCTTACTACGACAGGATGTCACTAATGACGTCATCAGAAGTTGTGGACATCTCCATGGAGCTAGCATGGTGCCAGTCGTTACTCTGTGTCGTAAGACGTATTTCAGGAGGTCATTTGTCTCTCACAAAGAATGAAATAGAAGAATTTAAGACCGTTAGTATACAATTCAGTAATATGACAGCGAATATAATCATCATGTTACTGGTATCGTTGAGTTTGTTTTTGTTCAAAAACGTTATGTCGTGCAGATACGTCTCCGAACTTTACCTTATCCAAAACGCTACATTGTCACTGTATATTTACCGATGTATCATTGCAACATGTGACTACCCAAGTCTAACATTTCGCTTGTCATGGTCTAATTGCAGATGCGTAATCTACACCACGATAATGTGAATAAGTTCATTGGTATTTGCTTGGAACCTGGTCATAATCTGCTTCTGTCAGTTTACTGTGCTAAAGGCATGCTTATGGTAAGAACACTCGTTATTTTTTCAATTGATGCATTTCCAGGTATTCAGTTATATTTCATATTGACAATTTCTTGAAAATGTATTCTTATAAAGTATTGTTTTACGTTGAAGGACATTCTAGAAAATGATGATATCCGCTTAGATTGGATGTTCCGCAGTTCCTTTATGTTTGACATAGTTGAGGTAAACACATTTTTTTAAAACTATAACTGTAACTCGAGATCTCGATCTCAATGATTGTTACGCGATCACAGCACATCATCTGTGTTTTACGAAGTAACACTATGGATTGCGACAAAATATAAATTGTGTCTGATATGGGCTCATGTTATTACCCTTTGCCACAGAAACATGTTATACGTTTCACACAAGCAAGAGTCCGAATAATATTTTAAAATGTTATTTTAAATAAGCATTATAGCCACAAACCACGATCGCGAAATTGGCCGTCAGGTAGTCCCTCAGACAAACGTTGGTACGGCATAAACACTACCGTATTCGCCTATATCTGATGTATAGGTTACCATAGTAGCATGCTTAGCAACGCTTAGAAAATGTTTGAATTACTGATCAGTGTTTAGCCCATTTTCCCCTGTTGCTACTGTGAGGCTTTATACTCGGCCATGTATTGTTACAGTAGTATTATTATGAAAACTCAAACATCTGCAGTACCCTGAAAACAAAATGTCGGGTCCCTACAGCAACTCGCGTGCAAACATTCTGGTATTATCTGGTTTAATGATAAGCATTAAAGCGGGGGAGTCGTCACCCGCGCATGCGTCAGACGGACACATCATGTCATTGTTTACAAACACGCGTTTACCCATGAG